GCTTTCATCACAGCACGCTGAAAGCTTGATTTACAGATCCAACTGTCAGATTATTTCCTAATTTTAAAACAACGGGCGTCATGCAAGAACCGCTTGTATGAACAGATTTGTTCTTAAAGGTACACTGCATAGCATTGTTGGTCGCTTCTAAAAAAAACAGGCGGCAACACCTGGTTGTGCAGAGTGAAGCCGATGCTGAAGTGTCTTAAAACCTGCATTCTCTCTACTGACCAGCAGGGGGCGACTCCTCTGGTTGTATAGAAGTCTATGAGAAAATGACTCTACTTCTCTCTTGATTTATTCCCTCAGTAAACATTGTAAACATGAGTTTATGGTCTCAATCTCTAGTTTCAAGTCTTCTTCAATACAGCATGATGTTCATTTAGTAAATTATGGTCCATTTAGAGTCAAACAGACCATAAATACGTATACGGTGTCTGTATGTCACTCCTCCGTTCATTGGTTGCAAAAAAAACAACATGGCGACAGCTGTAATCCAAGATGGCGTCAGTGAAATCGCCGAACTCGAGGCTTCATAACGTCAGTCCACAATCCAATGGATGACGCCACAATGACTACGTCCACTTCCTATATACATATATATGGTAAAAACACACAGGATTAAAATTTGGCAAGCAAACCTGAGACGTAAACATAAAACAGATTTAGGATGAGAACATTATAGTGTTGCATGTCTGAATCCTGGTGAGTAATTGTTGCTTACTCTGCATGTTTCTCAGGTCTGTCTGGAGGTTCGGGTCGCTGGATGTGGGCTGACGGTCGGACGCTGTCCTTCTCCAGACTGAGGGGGTCCGACTCCGGTGTCGGCTCTGACTGTGTGCTGGTTGAAAACCCCAGAAACTGGATCTCTACAGGCTGCTCCCCCGAAACTCAACACACATTCATCTGTTCATCGACAGCTCACTGAGAGACATATTTACCGCTACCGTCATAACAACCTCTCTGAACATGTTAAAGTCATAATTAATGAGACGTAATGATGCTGCTCTGTACATTAGTTTTAATATTTTTTTCATAATAAAGATCGCTGCACAAACCGATGTATGGGTCTTTGAACTTTAGATGCAGATCAGCAGTTTGATCTGTTTCAAACACTATACTCAAGTACTGTACTAAAGTATACATTTAAGGGTACTTGTACTTTACTTGAGTATTTTCTTTTCACTTTATACTTCTCTTCCACTACATCTAGGGAAATATTGTACTTTTTTCTTCACTACATTCATTTGACAGCTTTAATTACTTTACAAACTAAGATTTCGTGCACACAAAACAAGACTTTACCAGTTTACACAAGTACAGCTGGAACATTTAGTCGATTAATCAATTAGACGATTGCCATGAATGTGAAAATGTGATTTTTCATGCATAAACATTTCAGCTGTACAAATTTTAAGATTTGTGTTTTTTCCTTTCAATAATGTTAATAATCGCAATGTATTAGTAATAATGTTGAGGTCTGGACTGTCGGTTGGACTAAACAAACATTGTGAAGGTGTCACTTTGGGCTCTGGATAACTGTGACGACATTCCTCACTATTCTAACAAACCACACAATCAATCGATTAACGGAGAAAATAATCAGCAGATTGATCCATAATGAAAATAATCAATAGTTAATAATCAAAATGAGCTCCACCTTAAACATCTACCATAGTAAAATCCTACTTTTACATGAATGCATGAGTAATATATAAGCTGATGATAATAAGATTTAATAGTGTAACAGTCACAGGGGGCATTTCTCGGCATTGAGTACTTTTTCACCTTATGGTGTTAGAACTTTAACTTAAGATAAGGATCTGAGTACTTCCTCCACCACTGCTTTCAAATCTAGCTTTTAGCATAAAACAGATGTAACTCCGCCTATATTCTCAACTACATGTATTTTTTTCTTGTGTAATGATAAATGCCACCAGTCTTTGGAGAATAAACTGGATGACTGGTAATTATTTATTACATTTTTTTATTGACCTGTTGGTTCTGAAGTGGTTTGTTTTTCAGGATAATTTACATTTGAAATGATGCTTTGAGGGAAGTTTTTTAATCTGATGAATTAATCTTGTTTCTCTCCTCCACAGGATTTATCAATGTCATCATTTATAAAATAATCTGTGGAGTTTCAGTCTGCAGTATATTTCTTTCTAGTTTTCCTTCACTTGTGACTTAATTTACTTTCTAAAAGTCTTTTAGACGAGCCAGAGAATAGATACGAGCTGAGAAGGTTGAGTTTGAATGGAAAGTCTATTATATGTACTATGTGCATCAGATGAACTTACATCTTTATGAAACCAGCCTGAATGTAGTGTGAAACAATCAGCAGAGGGCAGCACAACAGCACAGACACTCAATTCCAGTAAGGCCGGACCCGATATCAACACAAACAAAATTTTAATTGTGCAACAAAATTCTAAACATAAATGATGATGATTTTGCTTCTATGCCCAAAAGCTGGTCCATTTTTTGTGATTGGCTAAAAGAAGGAACCACTTTCATCCTGGTGATATATTTTTTTATTTTTATGAAGCTTAAGTTTTTATTAAAAAGCCACTTCAATGCTACAAAGTCTTCACCATTAACAAACATGTTTTTGATTTATTCTACCTCCACCTACACTCCACCCGCAAACATATGTCTTCATGTTTTCTAACAGAAAAGGGGTTTATATGCAAGGTGGCTGCACTAATGAGTTGCCAAAAAAACATCAGTTTTTCACGGTCAGCATGTTTTTTGTTGACGCTTGGCGTTGTGTACCTGGAATGCTGGTATGTCCTTCGCAGGGGGCGTTTCTAGGATTCAAAGAAAGGGGGGGCTTAGCCCCAAGGGGAGTGGCATGTTGGCAATTTTTTTAGGGCCCATTTGGGGCCGTGGATATCCATTGTTTCAGACAGTTCATAGATTGGTTCAATCAGAAAGAGTGCGATTTTGCTCTGTAGTTTTGCTTGCATTCAGTATATGATAACACAAGAGACAGAATTTCAGGATCATAGTGAAATTTGACAACAAAAATATGAACTTTTCTCAAATAAAGAGAGAGAAATAATTTTCCTACTTGTAAAGGAAAGACAGATAAACTAGCTTTCATATCCACGTCACTCCCAAATCCTAATTCTTAAAGGGGCCGCACACAATGGATGGAGAATGGACCTGACAGTGTCAACTTTATACCGTTAAGTATGATGATAGGCTGTTGGATTGTAATTTGAAGGGGGAGAAAAGATACAAACCAGAACGCACGCACAGATGTAGCATGTTAGAGTTATAAATAACTTGTCCATGTGAGAAACAATAGTTTAATTTAATGACATCACCAAAAACAAAATAATATTTTTTTTTTGTTTTTGTTTTTAAAGCCAATAATGGCAAATTATTTGGGGGGGCTGAAGAACATTTTAGGGGGGCTTCAGCCCCCCCTAAAACGACGCCCCTGGTCCTTCACATATGTTAACAACCGCTCATCTGATCTACTTAACACTTGGCAGGTGTATTAATGGGGACCCAAGAGAGTGCAGTTGGTGCAATTTGGAAATGAGACACGTTCGATATTAATGCATTTTGAATAAACAAGCCCCCCAAACAGGCCCCTGCGGACTGGGGCTTCAGGGCTCTGCAGGGTTCCCTTACTGGATGCTGTATAAATTGTTGCAAACAGACTCTTCTTTACTTCCCTGGAGTCAACGCGAGCAGATAGTCAACCTGAAGCAGCCTCGAACCAGAGCGTGGTTGCAGCCTATGCAGTTTTAATGGATGGAATAGAATAGAATGATAAAATGTTTGCCATGGGTCCTAATTTAAAGTGTCACACTCTCAGGGAGGTAGGGACAATCTCATTTTCAAGGTGACAGACACAGATGTAGCAGACACAGATTTTCTCATGTGCTCTATCTATTTCCGTTTTTACATAATATGCAAATTAACTGTAAATTTCCTAAAATTGTAATATTTTTTTTTCTTCAGATTAAATTAATCAAACAACTAATAATGTTTTGAGAAGAGATATGTTCACATACTGTTATGATGGTCGTTTCTCACAGTAATGAATAACTTAGTATGTCAGACAAGTCCTACGAGTCCTACAGGGCGTTGTTGTCCCTCCGCTTTGTGTCATGGCGAACAATGCCCCATAGCTGTAAAATAACCACAACATACCACAGCCTGTTGTGCACTGTTGCTTAGTTTTTCAAGTTGCACATGTTTGAACAAGAAAAGAGGCTCAGTCTGTCACGATCAGGCTTTACCTTCTGTGTTCTGTGTGTGTCTTTGTGTAGCTTCACCCTCCTCACTCTACCTGTCAGTCACTCCCTCAGCATCAGCATCAGCCTAACTCCCTTCACCTGTTCAAGCCACTTTATAAACCCCTGCCTCTCAGTCACTCACTGCCAGATCATTGTCATGTCTACCTGCCCGTTTGCCTTGTCCTATCCCGTTTCGCCGTCTGCATGCATTGTCTCAGTTCTGCTGGATTTTCCCCTCGTCTCTTGTCTCGTCCGTGGATTCACTGTGTTCCTGTAAGTTCATGGTCTGATTTAAGTGTTCATTAAATTCCCACTTCACTCTACTTCTGGTCTGGTCTGCATTTGAGTCCACCATCATGCCCCGTGACACAGTTACTTGTTACTATACAAAGCCAAGACGGTAGCTATTTGGTGAGTACAAAGTTACAATAACCGATTTGAAAAACTGACAAATGGGATAAACCTGATCCCACCTACAGCAGAGAAAAGATTACTCAAAGTATTTATCTTAGATCCAGTAAGAGGTAAGCATTTGGTTGGCGTTATAATAAATATAGAGACAATTTCATAATTTTTCCAAGGCCTGAAATCTGTAAAATTGATTTCAGGACATTGAACAGCTGTAGACAGCTCACAGAGATACACAGGTTGACACATTTAAGCTGCTATAAAGTGTCACTAATTTCATACTACACATGTATACAGAGTGACGGTTACAATGATTAACAACAATTAAGACAATACTGTAAATAAGATATTTTTTATTGCATAGTTTAGGATTATACATGCATATCAGTGGCATGTCCAGACTCTTTTGACAGTAGTGGCTGAAGTTGGGCACTGACTCAAGCAGTAATGTGGCATGAAGTACATTTGTGCTCACACACACGTCAAATAACATTAATTTACCATTTATAATTGTAATACTCATATCTACAATATTTACTCACATTACAGTATCTTACAGCAACAACATACACATGGATGTCCCGCCTCTGAGAGGGCAAACAGCAAATCATAGTTTAGTATTATGGGTTGTGTGGTCACACCCCGGATACATTTACAGTTCACAAACCATTTCTGGCAAAATCCTGTCCTTACAGAAAACCAACAACGCATTTGTCACACAAGATTAATTTCACGTTAACTTGTTCAATAATGTTTATAAAGGTGTTATAGGGTACAGTCAAACAAAACTACAAAAATGATTGAGGGCGAGATCAATGGTTCTCAGCTGGGTTTTCTATTTCTTTGAGAAAATGAGCAAGAGTTTATTTTGTGCTTGTGTTGCACTTGTTTGTACAAAAATGAGCTACGCTTACATTTAGCAAATGAGTCGCATCTGTAAGAGACATAAAAAAACTTCAGAAAGTGGATGATAAATGTAAATAAAAGATAAGATGCATAAAAAGAATATAATTAACAGTACATATGCAGCTATATATGAGCTACAGGATACTTAACCCTGTTATCTGTCTGATTATAAAACACTCATGGGCTTTTATGAGGTGTGTTTAAAAGTCCATCACAGTGACTCACTGGCTGCCACACATATTTCTCAAAAGGTACAGTTCATGAGTCAGCTGTTTGTACAAAAATGAGCTCAGCTTAACTTCTGTATTATGATATTTGCACTTTCAAATAAATGAATAGGAGATGGTTTGGCAAATATGCCACATCTGCAAGAGACAACAAAAACAAAACAACAAATACTCCTCAAAAGATAGATAATACATGTTAATAAAAGATTAGATTTCATGAAAAGAATATAAAAACGAACAGTATATACTGTATGCAGCTGTATTGAGCTACAGGTGTTCCATTTAACACGGCAATGTGTCTCATTATCAAATGCTCATTATGAGATGTGTTTGAAATTCCGATGAGAAGTCCGAGGAGATGTAAAGGAATCTTCTTATTGTCATTCAATAAGTGAGCTTAAAGATTGGACAGAGATGTGAACTTTTTTCACATCTGTACTCCTTCTGTTCCGCAGAAGGAGTACAGTTTTTGGGAGGTGAAGGCTGAGGAGAAGAGACGGATTCAGTTCCATTCACATGGACTTTGATCAGTTCACAGATTTTTTTCTCACTGTACAGTTAGTTCATCTCTTTGCACTTCCGATGCAATTGTTTGTACAATCAGCTACCCTAGTTTTCATACTGGATATCATATGCCAGGGGTCCATTAATAGCAAAACCAAGGTAGAAAGTAACCTTTTCTGTGCTCGCACCACTTCTTATACCAGCAATTAAAGCTGGACGCACAGGGATTTTCACTTTGCCATAATTGGCAAACACCTCTCCTTGTTCAGTGGTTCCACTGACGCGGTGAAGGCGGTTGATAATTGCTTCTTTTTTAAATATATCTCCATTCCGCCAAAGTTGAGCCAAGGTGTCACGGCGCATATCTCTAAAATTCTCATCTAGTTGGTGTTTAGAAACAAGCCTTTTGAGTCCCTCTTCTTTCCCCAGGTAGAGGTGGGCAATAGTGTTTCTTATTCGAAATGATAAAATCAGGCGTTTCGATTTTCGAATTGCTCTCACATATGTCTCAATTGCTGTGTTTTCCTGCCCAGGACTTGGCCAGAGTAACAGCAGAGCCAGGTAGTATGGATCTGGGAAGGGATACTGAAGTCCTACTTCTTGGAGAGTTTTCAAAAGTAGATCAGAGAGGTAGCGGTAACTCTTTACATGTTTAGATTTTCGTTTCAAAAGGTAAAGAACTATGTTTGACAAAATGTAATTGATTGTTTCCTTTGTCTTTTGTTTTTGTTGCAAAAATGCATAGCATTCTGTGATCCTCTCAATCTCTTTGTCAGCATTGTCCAAATGTTGAAGAATTCCTGCAAATGTATCTGCATTTTGCTCTTCAAGAAACAATCTTCGTTCTTCAATATCGATTTCCAAATTGAGACGAGGATTGCATTGTCGTTCGTTTTTCATTTCTTCTGAAGTTGTGCAAAAAAGAGCTACATACTTTATAAAAAGAGCACTGACAATTGCACGAAAATCTGATTTAGAAGTGTTTGCTTTTATATTTGTGAAGTAAAAGACAAGAAGTTCGAAAATTTCTTTTACTTCAGTTTTTAAACTCTGGAGAAACTGCTTGTGTTCTTTGATGATCTCCACATATCTGTTGTTGATGACATTGTCCTCCTTATGCACACTGGTGATTGAGATCGATTTTTTCAGAAAACTCTGCAAATACCTCTTGTTCATTGGGTCACTTTCCTCAAAGAACGGCAATCTGCTCAATATCTCAAAGACCAGGAAGGCAATATCCAGCACACCCACATAGCCAGCAACATTATATGACTTTCTGGGGTAGTCTTCCGACTTATCATCAGCAGCTTCTGTGTCAGGTTCGTCCTCTTCATTTGCCAGCTCTTGAGCACTTTTAAATGCTGCGATAGCATAATTTGCAATTTGAATGTTTGTGTTTAAGTCTTCTGGATTGCGGGATGTCTCCTGCTTTTCTCTGTTGTTAGATTTTAAATTACTTTTGTGAATCTGCCCAATTGTATCAAATGTGTAGGGGTGTTGTTTGATGTTCTTGGCCTTTTCAGCCCATTGCAGAGCCTCCGGGAAGTCACACTCCACGATGTATAGATATCTCGCCAGTGCCTGAGGAATAGATGCACTTGTCACCAACCTGGACGATGCTTTCACAAAGATTTTTTGGACAGTTTGTCTCCCTTGATCATTGTGGATTTTGCCTATGAGAGGAGAAAATGTTTCTCTCTCATCTCCAGCTTTCTTGCGCTGCCTTTCAATCAACATTTGTTGAATTGAGCGCATGAACCTGTGTTTGACAACTCCAACACTGAAGAACAGATCACAGTGAAGCATCTCCATAGTGATATCACTTACTCTTAAAGAGTAGCTTCTCTCCAACTCTTCCAGACACGCAGATGCTATGGAGTGATGAAGGATTCGGATTCCTTTGTATCCTCCCAAGTCTTCAACTGTGTCAATAATGAGGAAGTTTGAATAGGGCTCCATTCTGCCCATTACGCTGTCCCCACTCCAATGTATCATTTTCATCCCCAAAAAGTCTTGACAGAGGGAGAGAGAGATTTCAGATTCTGGCACATAGGTGTTAAGTAACGCTAGGAAGGCAAACAGCCTGGCCTTCTTTGAGCTGTAATCAAAATTCTCCAACATGTTACGAGCAAGATCCTTGATGTATTTCTTGTCAAAATTGCTCTTCATGATCATGAAGCTGTAAAAGTTTTCAGGTTTTTCATGAGTTTCTTTAAGCTCTCTGAGTTTTTTTTCAAACTCCTTCTGTTCTTCTTGTGTCAATGAAGCAGTTATGAATTGACTTGGTCCTGTGTTGTGCTGTTTGTATTGCTCCTGTGGGCTATGGGAACGAACACAGTTAAGGATGATGACTTTGCAGTTTGGTGCGTCACCCACATTCATGTTTAAGCCATCCTCTACTGCTTTATGTATGCAGTTCACCAGTTCGTGAGGATTCTCAGTTTCTTTTGAATCATCGACTAACAGTAAAACTGGAGATGGTTTCTCACTTTCAAGTTTCATGAGCGTACTGACTTGAATGGCAACTTCTTTCTTTGACAGTGTGTTGTCTTTCAGCACAGCACACCTGAACTCTTGACGGAGATCCCACATCACATGCATTGCCAGAGTGGTACCTCCACAGCCTGGATGGTGAAACAGATTGAGTAGAGCACACATGTTTTTGGAATCCTTCAACTGAGACCTAATCATCTTCTTCACATTTTCATACTTGTCCCGTTTAACAAATGGCTTCTCTTTGTCTTTGTCACAGAAGTAGAAGTTCCACCATTTGACTTTGCCTCCTTTGTAGAATTCCTCCTCAACTCTGATTCTGTGGTCATGAAACTCTGAACTGTTTTCATCAATTGTTTTTTCACACTGATTCAGACACAAAATATCCAGAGCTGTTAATAAGTCTTCATCCTTCTGCTTTAGAACAACAAAACTAGAACCAGAAGAGGGAAGCAACCTTTCAGACGACTGATTGAATGGTCCCAGTGCCATTATGGTTCCATTGACCTCACTGAGGGTCAGCTCATATATAGATAGTGGGTCAATGTGTTGACCCAACACATTGATCCAATGTGTTGACCCAATGTGTTGACCCAGTGTGACTCTGACCCAGTGGGTCAGAGTCACACTTTTCTTGTACAAGCTCACGCCATTTTTCATAAATGCCCTGAGATTCACAAATATTGATGATACTTTCCTCTTTTGTTTGTTTTATGAAAGACTTGTAGATGTCAAATATTGGGTCTTTCTCAGTGTGAACAGGTGAAAGTAAGAGGAAAATGATGAGACTTCCTCCGCATAAAAGAACTTCAGGGTTGGAAATGAATGAAACCAATTGCTCTACATCTTTGCAAGATTTCCTAAACCAGTTCCTATAGTCTAACTCCTTGTTTGAGTCACAGTCAAGGTCATGTCTGCCATTGCAGAAGACCCAGCTGGTCTGTTTGTAGAGGTTAAGACTCTTTCTCACTGATTCAGTTTCTCCTTGATACTGTGATGGTGTATGCAGATTGGCCACCCTTGACTCTCTGTAGGAATGACACAGTCCACCCGGAGCAACAGAGTTGGGGTCAAAGTCCAACACACAAAAGAGTTTCAGCTTATTTAAAAACTTAAGGTACTGCACTTGTTCTGGACTGCTCTTGTTGACAACAACAATAAAATGGTTATAGTTGTCCAGTGAGTTCCCACCACAAGTTAACAAATTCTTAAGTTTGTCACCCTGGTTAGCTTCTTTCTTCAAAACGTCTTTTGAAAGACTCTTCTGTTCCAATGGACCTGTATGAACAGTAAAGTAAATGCATTTTTGAGTAAAAGAAGACACTCACAAAACAACATCTTAGGGGCTGGTTTTGTTAATGTCACCAAATCCAATGAAAAAAGTAAAACCACTGTGTATTGTTTTGTGACTTTTCTACCCTGTCTGAGTCAACCCTGGTTAAGACGTAAAACTTTAAAATCACTTCACAGATGTATATAGTTTCATTTTATTTTAAACAGTAATTTTCTAAAACTCTGGTCAATATATTTTTTTATCAAAAGAACAGAAAGAAATAGTGCATTTGTTGGGGACTATTTTAATCCACATTTGGTGCTCTTGTGAGTATTTGTGGCAGCAGGACGGTGTGTATGGAGTGAGTCAAAATAAACTACAGTGTGTGTTCATGGTGATGAAGGAACATGTCACCCAGTGCAACATTGCGACTCGTAATGTGTTTTTAATAGTTGTTGGACAACAATAGAGCTCTGTGGCAAAGAGGATGAAGATCAGGCTTTGACTACACAAGTTAATATTATTTGTGGGATCAGTTCATTGTTTCAGTGTTTTTGGTCTTTGTTGAAAGACTTAATTAAATATGTCAGTTAGTACGTGTCAACAAGCTAGTATAGAAAACATTACGAAATAATGCAGACTATCAGCAGAATACAAAAACAATGTATTTTCAAATTAATGCAACTTCCCAGATTGAATACATATTTGCATTGGTTGTCTTACCCATGTTCTTTTCCAGCTGATGAGCAAGTTCCCGTTGATTGATTTCTTTCAGAATGTCTATTGTGACCTGTAAAGCCTCCTTGCTTCCATAGTGGTCAGTCATTAACGTAGTGGTGTCAATGATGTCCTTGCCCTCCAGTTTACCTCGAGGAATATGTTCATGCTCAGGTGCACCATATTCTTGTAAGTAGAACTGAAAGTCTTTTAGGTCAGCTTCATAGAGGTTGGCTAGGATTTTCTGGATCTCCACAGTGATCTTTGATATGTCTGTGGTCTGCAGGAAGAAACAGAAGTAAATATTTAGTGTAAAACTTTACAACGTAATCATTGTCCATACTTGATAAAAATCCTGAAAGTTTGATATATTTGTGTGCACTAACAAAAGGCTCTATACATGCTGGATGTAATAATTAATATATGACAAAACAGAGATTTTACCACAATAGCTCCTTTTCTCCTGGCCCCTAAGTCCTGTGGCTTTGGCTGCTGAATTCCCTCCTTCTCTGAAACTTTTTGGAATGGTAGCTGAGCCTTTTCAGATTCCTTTTTCACCATTTTGTCTGTTTTTGATTCAGTTTTGTAATAGAAATTTGGTTGTTTGATTGCTAGGGCCTGAGCCAGACCCAGTTCAGGTTGAGTGGGTTTTGGAAATTCTTTTTGGTCTGTGGTGGTGTGAAGGATTGGTTGCAGTGTTGGCTCTGGTTTATTGCGCAGCTGATGGAGTTCTGCCAGAATCTTCACAGCAGGACCATTTTTCAAATCCAGTTCTAGAAAATCCTGCTTTTTGAAGCAAACAAGGCAATCTCCAGACACATCTTCCTCTTGGAGTCGTTCTGCATATTTGCTATATATGTTAACATGCTGCAGTAACCACTGGTTCACTTCCTCCTTTGTCCAGTTTTTCACATATGGTGGGAACTGTGATTCATGTTGTCCTTCTTTCAGACTTTCTAGATAAAATTTGATTTTTACAGCAGGACCATGATTTATTCCCAAGTCCAATATGTCTTTCTTTTCAAAGAAAACAAAACTGTCTCCAGACACGTCCTCTTCACAGAATTTGTCGGCATAAGTCTCCTGAACTTTGACCACTGTCATCAGCCACTGGTGGACGTCTTCCTTGGTCCATTTTTCAATTGTGGGAGGCAGCTCCATTGTTGAGCGTCTCATTTCGGATCAACCTAAAGTGAGTTGAGTAAAAGATAAAAATAATTAAATAATAGTCAGGAATGTAGTGAATGATGATGGGAAGATGATAAAAACTGAAATGGGATAATGACAATGATAAAAAAAACTTTAATCTTAAAATTTTGACAAACTTCTCCCAGAAACTACTTTTAGGATCCCTAGGTCACTAAGAGGTTGGACCCTCAATTTACCACGTGCCTCGATAAACTCAGAGATAAGACACTGCAACTTGGGGTCAATCTTGACACTCAAACCAATTTATGAAGTATAAGACCCCCATAAGAACAGAGTCTACAAGGTTTTATGACCCCCACCTTTTTTGTTTTAGGTGGGGGGGGGGGGTTGAGGGTGGCCACAGGGATGTAGCTGTGTTTAAGAGCAACTACATTCCTAAGTAACAGGAAATACACAGACACATCCGACTTAGTTTTGATGGAAAATAACATGTACCTTCATTGATATGTTATGCTGAGAGCTAACATAAGTAATAGGGAGAGTGCTTTGACATGTGGGTTTTGGACCTTCCGTTTACCTCTCTCCAATAGACTAAGTTTAGATTAAGTTAGTTTTCTATTCCGGTCAATTTCAATTCATACAACTTAAACAATCATGGTAATAAATAGGCCAATCCTTTTATATTAATTTTCAGAAATGCATCTTTGTGTCCCCAGAGAAACTGAAATTTTAATTGACCCTAATGTCATATCCTAATCCTTGTATTTTGTATATATATTTTGAATCAGTAACAACTTCTCTTTATTTGTAAAATATTCACAAATTTACTATTTTTAACTGTTAATACATGTGTTATGTTTCTTCTGTAGACATACTGTACAAAATTCAATTTACGTTACTGACTCACTTTATACAATGTATCTTTATAGAGTAATTGGCCAAGCTTGAAGTTCACCAAATCTCAAACATCCATCTATTAACTTCCGCTTATCCAGGGGCAGGTCACAGGGGCATCAGGTTTAGGAAGGCATTCCAGACGTTCCTCTCCCCAGCAACCCTTTCCAGGTTTTCCTGGGGAACCCCGAGGTGTTCCCAGGCCAGACGAGGTATGTAATCTCTCCAGCGTGTTCTGGGTCTACACTGGGGCCTCTTACCAGTTGGACGTGCCAGGAAAACCTCTAAAGGGAAAGATCCTGATCAGATGCCCAAACCACTTCAGCTGGCCCCATTCGACGTGAAGGAGCAGCGGCTCTACTCCAAGCTCCCTTAGGATGTCTCAGCTCCTCACCCTGTCATTAACGCTGAGCACAGCCACCCTACGAAGGAAGCTAATTTCGGCTGCTTGTATCCATGATCTCATTCTTTTGGTCTTGACCCAAAGCTCATGACCATATGTGAGGGTCGAAACGTACATGGACTGGTAAATCGAGAGCTTTGCCTTCTGGCTCAGTTCCCTTTTTGACACAACGGCCCCGAACAATGTCTGCAGCACTGAACTGCATACTTGATACTGTTGATACTATTCTGGTATCAAGTACACTTATGAACCCGCCTTATACTCGAACATGGTGTTTGTTATAGCCAATCCATGACTAGCACAGAAGTCCAACAACAATGCACATCTTGGGTTCAGATCATGCAGGCTGTTCCTGTCAATCACCCCTCTCCAGGTTTCTCCATTGTTACCCACATGAGCATTGAAGTCCCCCAGCAGAACTATAGTCTCCAAATGGCTCCCTTTCCAAAACTGCACCCAAAAACTCAAAGAAGGCTGGGTACTCTGAACCTCTGTTCGGTGCATAGGCACAAACAACAGTCAGATACTCAAAGTCCCATAGTGGTGTGGCGTGAGGTAGACGGAATGTCGTTTAAAGTTACGTGGACAGCCAATAGTTAGAGCACAACAACGCCACCTTAGGAATTGCACCTAAGGATTCACTTTTCCCACACAGTATCAGGATTCAGAGGACACTTCAGGTTCATTATACAGATTAGCCTGAGACGTGGTTCCAATACAAAAATAATCTTTATTCTGTTACAGTATTAATTCACCGTTATGGTTTATACACAAAATACTAAAAGAGGAGTAGGACTGCGGCTTACCAGTGGCGAGGTGGACCAGTGCAGGTGAGGATCCCAAAAGAGGAGGCACCCCGATCACACGTGTACACAACACTCACACACACAACCACACGTGAGGGTTCCTAACCAGGGGCACACCAAACTACACAGCACACGAAGGGAGACACCAACACCCGGAGGCACCAACCCCACCACCTTGGCTTGGCAGCTCCTACAGGGACAAAGGACACAATTACAAAAAGGCTCTGGTTCTCAGGAAAGAAAATCAAACAAAAGGAAAAAATATGAAAAAGACAAAACAACAAAAATAGCTCGGGTTAACTGATCAGCCAGGGGGGGGTGATCAGTAACCCAATTTATATAAACTAAAGGCCAGAGTGGGCCTTAACATCCCTGGTCAGAATACACAGAATGGCTCAGGCTAAAAAGAGGTTCTCATTAAAACAAGGGTGCTGCTGACAGCAAACAGCACAAGACAGGGGCGCAGTGCTGACAATAGCAGCGTCAGACTCTGTAGGCGACACAGCGCAGGTCAGGGTAGACGAACCCAGTAGGCCAAAGCCGTTAGTTGAACACGGCCGTAGGTAAAACACCGGTAAACAAAACAGCAGCGTCCTTGAACGTAAGCCGAGTTAGTTGTAGCCGCTTTCTGCCGCGTTCCGCTCGAACCCAACCAAAAGTCCCCTGTGATACGGGATGACATAGAATTAATAGAATAATCATTAACACCAAAGTATATAAACTAACAGAATAAAATCACCTTACCGATCAGGCAATATTCGTCAGCTCCAGAAGGGGGGAGGAGGGCATGTAGCGTAGCTACCGGCAGCTATATAAGCAAGACACGGTCACTAACAGGACACCATAGTACAATCACTTCAGGACCTAATTGAGACTCTCCGACAGATCCGCAGGTGAATCACCTGTACAGGACGAGGGGAGCCCCAGAGATTGTCTACAAAACAATGAAAGCCAATATAACACCAGAACAGTATGACCGGGAGAAACAATGCTGCCGCATTCTTGCGTACCCGCACAGCGGCGGATGTCCGGCAGACCGGAAGCGGGACACGCGTTTGATGTCAGGAGGGAGCTAAGGGAATCCCTGTCGCATTTATATGATGCCCGCCCACCGTGATTAGCTAGTGTTGGCCTTGTAATTAAAGATGTAATGTGTAAAAATGTAATACTAGTCACGACCAAAGTTTGGGAAAGACACAATTGTCCCAACCAATATTTTGTTCATTTTAATTGCCTGTTAGAAAAAATAAGCAGACACTCAGTTCTCCGTGGTCAACTCAGCAGACACTTACACTTTAGTGCACCTTGTAGCGTTAGACATTCCTGCAGCTATCTTCGTTATTACAGTCACCAAAGTGGTTAGCTAGTAGCTCCTAGTAGCTAGCATTCAGGGGAGAAAAAGGGCAGACTACCATGTCTCTTTGGTCTGGGAACTCACTGACCGTTTATTCTGCGCATGCGCACAACAGCACCCCAGTGCACACAGGCATACATCCTCCCACGTGACATCACTGCACAGGCCACTCAACATGGCTTTGCTACTCATATAAGGAATATGCTCAACACTCCCACTCAAAGACATGTGTATAGCTCTCTATGGTGGTAAATAAAAACCAAAAATACATAACTCCAAAATAAAACATTTTGCATACTGGCAGTGTTCTAAAAACTTCAAAAACATTTACATCTGTCAGTTCACATTACTCACCAAACAAATACCCCTTGAAACTCTCAAACTTATTCTTTGTCACTGGCTTGGTAAGAACATCAGCTATCATGTTTGCAGTAGGATAGTATTCTATAGATATTTTCCCTTCTGCGTGTGCAGACCGTATAAAGTGATACTTTATATCTATGTGTTTGCTTCTGTCTGCATACTGGGTTCTTAGATAAAGCTATCGCCCCCTGGTTGTCCTCGTATATCTTGACTGGTACATGCTGGTTACTACTATCTATTCCTCTAAGTAGTTGTACAAGGTACATACTCTCTTGAGTAGTGGCTGCAAGTGCCATATACTCTGCTTCGCAGGTGGATAATGCCACCGTTGGCTGTTTCCTACTCTTCCACGATATAACTGGACCATTCTCAGTTAAGCTGAAACAGTATCCACTTGTGCTCCTCCTATCATCCTTATCGGCTGCCCAATCAGCATCACTATATCCCTCCAGCTGTAGTAGGCTTTCCTCACATTTCTGGTAGTGTAGTTCTTGATCTATAGTACCCTTTAAGTACCTCAGTATGTGTTTTGCTGTAGCCCAATGCTGTTGCTTTGGTTCTGCTAGGTACTGAGATAGTTTACTCACAACCCAGCTCAGGTCAGGTCTGGTACATGTCATAATGTATATCAAGCTACCTACTATCTCTCTATATCCTGTCGAATCGATAACTTCACCCTCACTGTCAAAATTTAACTTTTGCTCACATGGGGTGGATCTCGGTTTGCATTCGGACATTCCAAATTTCGCTAATATTTTCTCTGTGTCTCTTTTGAGTCATTTTGATCTGAAATCGATACCTAGGAAGTGTTTAAGTGGACCCGTATCTTTCATCTTAAACCTTCTCTTCAACATTTCTTTTACATCACTGAGTAAGGTGTTGTTACTCGCTGCTATGATTAAGTCATCTACCCACACTAACAGAATCACTTTCTCGTTCTCAGATTTTCTGCTGTAGACACAATGATCAGCATCATTTTGCACAAAACCATTCTCTGTAAGGTGATCATGCAGTAACATGTTCCAGTTCCGCCCGGACTGTTTTAAACCATACAATGACTTGTTGAGTTTACACACTAAGTGTTCCCCTGTTTTTGACTTGATCTCAAAACCTTCCGGTTGCTCCATATATACCTCACAGTCTATTGGAGCATGGAGGTAAGCAGTCTTCACATCCATTTGGTGTAGGATAAGATCCTCCTGTACAGCCACCTGCATTAATGCTCGTACAGAGGTCATGTTGGCTGTCGGTGAAAAAGTCTCTTTATAATCAATCCCTTCCACTTGACTATACCCCTTTGCGACATATCTGGCTTTACAAGTCTCAGATCCATCTGGGCTCTCTTTCACTGCATATACCCAGCGACCTCCCACTGCTTGTTTGCCTCTTGGCAGTGGGGCCAGAGTGAAAGTATTATTCTCTGTCAAAGAGTTCATCTCCTCTTTCATCGCGTCAGCCCACATTTTTGACTTCTTAGAGTCCATTGCCTCTTTAAGTGTTTTAGGTACATCATAAGCCACTCTGTAGAAATAATCTACATTTTCACTTTCGTCATTATTACACTCAGCTTTACACTGGTACTCCTTTAAGTATTCTGGAGCCTTTCTCTGTCTCATAGGGTATCTCTTTTCTCCCTCTTCTCTCTGAGTACTATCTGTCTGGGTCGGACCTGCCTCAGCAGTCTCCTCAACATTTGACTCTTTACCCTCCTTAGGCTGTCCCTGACCCTGGTTGACTATCTTCGGTGGTGTATCTCTTTTCTCAATATCTTCCCCCATGTCACAATCTGTCTGAGTCTGGCCGTCTGCGCTACCTTTGGTGAGGAATTTCACCAGCCTATGTTTGAGGACTTTTCCTGTCTCGGGATAATACACGTTATATGCTGGACTATATTTGTCATAGCCTACAAGGATCCCCTTTTTGCATCTAGAATCCAGCTTTTTCTTATCCTGCTGATATACGTAGCATTCAGAGCCAAATATCTTCATGTTAGATAGGTTAGGTGTTTTTCCTGTGAAAACACGGTAAGGTGTCTGCTCTAGCCGCTTACTGTAGCACCTGTTGCGGATTTGAGCTGCTGTCTGTACAGCATATGTCCATAATTGCTTTGGGAGGTTACTCTCCAATAGCATGCATCGAGACATCTCGAATAAGGTTCTCCAACCTCTTTCGGCAGTTCCATTCTGATGAGGCGAGTAGGGTGCACTCTTCTCATGCCTTATCAAGTTACTCCTAAATAAAGACTGGAACTCCTGCCCGGTAAACTCTGTGCCGTTATCAGACCTTATGCACTTTATCTTTCCATATGGAGCTACATCTGCTATGAATTTTTCTGTAGCTTTTGTAGCGTCACTCTTTGCTTTAATAAAGTACGGAAAAATCATCCCACTGTAATCGTCAGTAAATGCTATTGCATATCTGTATCCATCTTTATCTGCTGGTTCTATCAGACCGCATAGGTCTGTGTGTACTAGCTCTAATACGGTTGTAGCTTTAACGTCTGCCTGTCTGTTTCTGCTTTGTGTAAACTTGCCCTGTGTGCATATTTCACAGTTTTGGTTGGACTTGTCATGTTTCCCTTTTATAGACATCCCTTCAACCACCTTTTCTAATTTTGCAACATCATCAAAATTACAATGACCAAGTATCCTATGCCACGTTTGAATGTCATGACAACCATACACTTCATCAACATTTTCATCCTCTACAGTGCTAAGGTAATACAGCCTACCATACACGTCCATTTTGAACATGGTACCATCCTTGTGGACCAGCCAGTCATTACCGTCCTTGAAGCGGACCTCAGCTCCGTTGGCTGTCGCTGCTTTGACTGAAAAGTCCCATCGTTTCCATTTGTGGAAACGATGGGATGTAGAGTGCTTGCTTGAGCCTCGTTTTCACCTGTCGTCCCTCGCTGTCCAGCAAGTAGACTTCGGCGTCTCCCCTCATCTTCGCCATCCCGCTCACCTTGGATCCGTCAGCGAGCTCGATCATGTGGTCCTCCGGTCTGAAGCTCTTGTCAACTGTTTTGCACTTTGTGGCGTCGTTGATCATGTGTGTTGTGGCGCCGCAGTCGACCATGAGACCCTTCTTGTTTCCTCTTTGTGCAGGACAGTCACTCATCCTGAAACAGAAAGATGTATGCTCTGCCTCTGTCTCTCCATCAGCTTTCTTCACATGGTCACGGCCTTGTCCTCGGCTGCGTCCCCTTCCTCGCTGTGGTGTGTCCCATTTTCGTTCCTCTCTTCTCACCTGGTAACCGTCAGGACATGCCCTGGCCATGTGTCCCTTTTTACCGCACGTGTAACACTCGACATCAGCCATGTCCATTTTCTTCCCTCTTCCTCGTGACCTCGTTGCCCCGCTAGTCTTCATCACGTTGTCTTCTTCAACATTCACATCACTTTTCCCATATTTTTCAGTACTCTCGTAACTTCGCAGTTTTGTTTTAAACTCGCCGAACGTTACAGTGTCACTTGTCTGAGTGATGTACACGATGAATGGCTTGTATGAATCAGGTAGTCCTTTTACTACCATAGCCATCTGAAGCCCATCACTAATATGCTCCTCTGCTCTTCTCAATGATGTGAATATAGTCTCTGCTCGAATAATATAGTCCGTGATAGTTTCATTGCTAGCCTTATGGAGCGAGGAAAGTTCACAATACAAACTCACAACGCGGGGTTTGTCCTTTCCCGCATAGTGCTCGCGAAGAATATTCAGTGCTTTTCTTACGTCACGTTTCGCGTCCCTCATTACCAATAACAAGCTCTTGTTGTCTAGACATTGCACTAGTTCTGCATATGCCTCACCGTTCTTTTCCTCGTCTTCCGCGAGAGCTTCTTCGTCATCCTCAGCTATCTCCGGGTCTTCTGAGATAACTTCTCTGAGGCGACATAACTCAATGTGCGCGAGGAACCTTGTTTCCCAGAGCTCGTAATTTTTCTCATCACCATCGAATAAAAGTCTGAACCACCTTTGGCCTGATTGACTGGGCCCATAACCTGTAGCGTTAGACATTCCTGCAGCTATCTTCGTTATTACAGTCACCAAAGTGGTTAGCTAGTAGCTCCTAGTAGCTAGCATTCACGGGAGAAAAAGGGCAGACTACCATGTCTCTTTGGTCTGGGAACTCACTGACCGTTTATTCTGCGCATGCGCACAACAGCATCATCCTCAACAGCAACAGCAACATCCTCAACAGCATCATCCTCAACAGCAACATCCTCCCACGTGACATCACTGCACAGGCCACTCAACATGGCTTTGCTACTCATATAAGGAATATGCTCAACACACCTATATCCTGAAATGCACGGTAAACGCATTCAAACGGCACAGATCGGGAGCGAACGAAGGACTTTGAAAGATAGCGGAAACATTAACGTGAGACAACATCCGGTTTCTTCAGACGGACATCCGGTTTTCAGAATAAGATGCCAACAAAGTATGAATTATATTCACATTAAGTATAAAACATGCTACCTGCATCTCGTGAGTTAAAGGGAAAATACACCTAAATTGTGGGTAAAGTGTCTTTATTCTTTGATCGCTGGGTAATCATAATTACCTTGGAGTTACAGCATTATATTGATGAACAGTAGAGCTGCATTCACATGCTCTGACTGTCATGAAGACAGACATTTTTGCTGAAACGTGCTGAAACATGTTATTCCTGTTGCACAGCAGTGGAACGTTTCACATACAGTCACACACTGAGCACAGATAGTGAAGAGATAGAACTGCTACTGTGTAAAGGGAATACTGCTGTTAAAAAAAACACCTGATTTGTTTAAAGTGTTTGCAAACCAAATGTTTTGGTTTGCACTGACAGTGTCCCTACCAATTCTGAGACCAAACCTACGCCCTTGAATTATAACCAACTCCTTTTACAATTCTGTTTAGTTTCCTGTCGTGAATTAGATGTTTAATGTTCTATCTGCAACTTTCCTCTCAACCAAAGCACAGACCATCATCCTGTCTGTTAGAAGAGGGGGGAGGGACGTTCTCCTCCTCCTTATATTGTCTTTCAGCCAGGACACTGTTTTGTGCTAAAATGTTAAATTTAATCTTATCCATTCATTTATTACACATACAGGTACACATATATATCTACATAGACCTATATGTGTCATGATAACAAGGTCTATCTATGTTGTATCATTGTTTTGTTCATTCTAACTTGAATTAATCAGGTTTTATTCAGTGATTTATATCAAACTGTTTGGTATTGTTCTGCAGCTGAGGTGGTTCCCAGCTGTCAAATAAGGAAGAATTAATTACACTATGTAAGTTAACTAGTGTTCATTTTGTAAAAAAATGTTAAATGAAAGTATCAAGATAGGTGTGAGGATAAGAGTGGTTTGCTGTTCATGCCAAACACTGCACCCTTTCTCAAGAAGATAAAAGCAAGAAGTCAGAAGAAAGACTCTGCTTTTACTCTGGACTTTGACTTTGATGGACTTTGATGCCCCCCCAGGCCTGCGGGGGGGGGGGGGGGGGGTATTTTGGGGGAACTCTATGTTTGGGCAAGTGGAATGCCTCATGCAGTGGTCCGATTGGGCAAGTGAAAATGTCCGTGCAGTAAACCATTCTGTTAGCAATCCATGAGTCGAGTCTGTCGACCAAGAGGCTGCCTTCCTTAAGTTTAAGTTTTTAAGTTTATTGTCATATACATATACACATATACGAAATGTGTCCTCTGCATTTAACCCATCCCGAAACTTTTTCTTGGGTCCGCTATGACTTGGAGGACACAATGTATTGTTTCACCTCCTTGGAGTTCCCAAAGAAAGCAAACATGGAAGTTGATATTAAATTCAAATACCATAAAATAATTTTGGGGCTATCATGATTGTTTGACGTAAGTTACTGATAAGTTAGCTTATTTTTGATGATAACTGATGTTGGTCTAAATGGAGAATGACACGCTAATGTGCCGATTGTGTTTTTTTTAGCCTAACTAGAGGAGAGAATATTCGGTTAAATCAGAGCAGTGGTGCCGTTTTGCCCTCGGTGTTCCTCATGAAGTTTGCCGACAGTGATGTTATGTAGCCACGTTGTCATTTAAGACAGCTTTGCTGCTTGCACTGACCTCAGCTAAGAGAGTATTTGAGCTAACCACCCTGTCGATGCAACCCGGTTGCGTGTTGCTTTGTGGTGACCGTAGTAGGGCTACCAGCAGACCATATCCCTACTATGTTACATCTGCTTTGCCAAATGTGTGTGTTGGCATGCTATGTTGAACACACGGCCCCCATCAGATCCACTGAACAGCTGTGTATGTGTTTCGGGGATGGTGTGGCTGGTAAAACCTTATCCAACAAATGGCTGGCAAGATGGCTTTGTGAGTAAATCTCCACTGTGGTCTACACATACTCGCAGCATGGCGGGGTCGATGCCTTGTCTTTTCCTTTGCAGGGTCTGGGGAGAGTGTCAGTTTTGTTGCACCTGACCTAACGTATTTGGGTAGGCATGACTTGATTTGCTGGCTACACTAATGCAAATTGTCGGTGGATAAATGCATGCTCACGATTGGAGGAGAGTATTACCCATGGACTCCAGTAAAGGGCTTCTAGTACAGTGGTGGGCAATTATTTTTCCCAAGGGGCCACATGAGAAACAGGGACTGTTGTGGAGGGCCAGACCAATAGACTGAACTCAATCCTGCTCAATATTATTCCACCTCTTTATAAAAATCTGTAAATTGTATGGTTTTGATAAGTTGTGAGTGGTTAGAGTAAATATTAAGATCAGTGGTGGAATATAACTAAGTATATTTGCTTAAGTACTGTACTTATGGACAAATTTAAGGTACTTTACTTGAGTCTTTCCATTTTATTCAACTTTGTACTTCCACTCCACTACATAGTGGACTCAGTGGTACAAAATTTACAACATACCATTTCCAGCGCCACATATTCAAATCATGCGAGGACTGCCCGATGGTCACGACAAAAGTCGCATCAACCAGTCCAGCCAATACCCCGTTGTGCACAAGAGGAAAGGGCCTGTTCATTACTGCTTGAAGCTTTAATAAAATTGATGAATTTGTTTTTAATTTTTCATTGTAATGAGTTTTTCAATGTAAGCAAATGTAATTATGACATTTGTTTTTCACAATTTGTATTAAAAAAGTCTAAATTAATTTAAATACACTATTGTTTTATCCCATAATGGTTTTGATGTATGTTAAAGTCTTATAAAATATATTTTCAAAGTAAGCCTTGTAGAATCTCCTAATGAAACAGATCAACATATTTGAATGCGTTTCTACTCTCTGCAGTCTGTGCTTGTCCGTCTCCATTGAATCCTGATAGTTAGGGTGTGGTGCATTCTTGTAGTCATGAACAGTCATGTTTACATCTGGTGTCCCTCCACTCTATCTACAATTTAACTATTGACACATTTAGCGATTTCCTGCCAAAAGCTCTTGTCAGAGAAATAATAAATAAGAGAGTAGTGCTGATAATTTTACACAAATGATTACCACAACAGATATATATATATAAACATTTGAGATTCAGAGGAAGTTGTTGTTCAGTATTAAATTGAAAAGCATGTTTCAAAGCATTTAAGCCAGAGAATTTCCCACCATCTGAAGTCTTTTTACGCTTCATCAGACTGGATTTCAACAGCTGACCATCTCTCCTGGAACATGAGATGGAACATTTTTCTTAACAGAATTTAACTGCAAGGTCATTTATTTACTTGAAATTTAGCTGAAATGAATACTGCTCTATGCAGTTAAAACGTTACCTTCCGTGATGTCTTCAGCTTGATTGCCAACACCTCCACATCTTGTCAGGCAGCATGGAGAGGACTCACCGCAGAAGCACCTCAAGCAGATGAACTCAGAAGTCTCTTTATCGAGTGAAAAAAAGTCGATTTGCAAGGCAGAAACAAAACTGTGAGCAGGCAATTGTCAAAAATCCCAAAAGTCTGGCAGTGAGGCTGAGGTACAGACAAGAAGTCGGCAAAAATCCTGGACGTCTGGAGAAATGGGCAAAAAGTCAATATTAGATAACAAAATCAAGGATTGAAAAAGTGGCTTGAGAGCTTGGCAAGAACACAAGACAATCTGGTAAGGGCTTGACAGAGACTGAGCTCTGTGACATGGCACGATTACACTGATCACTAAGGCAGGGAGCAGCTCTATAGAGACATACCCACACACAGCATTTGGAAATGAATACCTTTGTGTATTTCACCGATGTTTCTGACCGCGAGTAACCTCAACCTTTAGTGATTTGGGGCTCTCAGGGAAACGCCATCTTGCTTTACCTTGGTATTGGCAGTGGTGGAAGTGTTTTTAAAGTAATACTTTTAACTTTTAGTAAAACTATTAGTACTATACAGTAAAAGTGCTGCATTCAAATGTTTATTTCAAGTGCAGAGTGAAAGAGAGGAATTATCGGCACTTGACTGCAATTGACCTAACCTCCGTTTAACGTGCACATTTTTAATTCTATTATGATTCTGGATAGTTTTATTAACAATAACGCATCATATTTGAATTATATTTTGTGAGTCAAATCTAAATCTACGAAGTAACCAGGAACATTTCTCCTTCTGTAGACTGTATAAAGATGTTTCTGGCCGTAAAAAAAATGTAGCAACAAATGTAGAACCAGCCTGACTGGTTCTCCTGCTCTGTCGTGGCCTTGCTGTGGTTGTTGAGCTGATCCCTGCCTTAGTGATTACAATCACAAGTGCAATCAAGCCATGTCACAAAGCCTCATTCTTTCAAGCCTTGATTTTGTTCCCTTTTATTGAACTCTTCTGGATTGCCAATGTTACTGATGTTTCTGACCATAGGTTGTGTGACGCAGCTATGTCCTGACATGACAAGCTGCGTCACAGACTCATGACATACTCATTATGCTGCAGAATGGCCCCTGTCAGAGTATAGTTTAAGTTTCAGCATTATTATGACTATAGAATACAGGACTGCTCATTAAATGCTGTACACACACATAAAATGCATAAGCAAATATTGAAATATATTTAATTCGAATAGGATAAAACAATACGATCAGCAGTGACGGAACAAAGTATTTAAAAGTGGCCCTCAAGGAAGAAATATAAATGGAAAGCTAAATTATATGTACAAGTAAGATATACACTTATGTGTAAACACACAAAATATGTACAGTACGTGCAATATCTGTAATATGCAGGTTGTAATGCAAACACTTGAGGTAATAGTGTAATGCAAAGGTAACGGTATGGTAATGTAAATATGAAGAAAGTGTAACAGTTTGCAATAAAGAAGATGTAAACCTGTACCTTTACATGGAGAGCTGAGGTTTTTGCAAGATGATGTGGGGGGTTCAGCAGCAGAGTGGAGGAGGTGTGACCGTCAATCTGAACTGTCTG